GGTGTCCTACTCCCACCGGGAGTTGGATTCCCCTCTTTCCCTAGTAGGGGGAGATAGAAGGAAGGGGGGGGGGCGGCCCCCCACTCAATTCGGATTGGGCTAGGGGGGCGCGCCCTCCACCTTTCCCTTCCTCTCTTGTTTTCCACTAAGGCCCAATAAGGCCCATATACTCCCCGGGGGGTTCCGGTAACCCCCCGGTACTCCGGTAAATGCCCGACTCACTCGGAACCATTCCGATGTCCAAACACAGGCTTACAATATATCGATTTTTATGTCTCGACCATTTTGAGACTCCTCGTCATGCCCATGATCACATCCGGGACTCCAAACAACCTTCAGCACATCAAACACACTTAAACTCATAATACCGATCATCACCGAACGTTAAGCGTGCGAACCCTACGGGTTCGATAACTATGTAGACATGACCGAGACTCATCTCTGGTCATTAACCAATAGCGGAACCTGGATGCTCAAATTGGTTCCTACATATTCTACGAAGATCTTTATCGGTCAAAACGCATAACAACATACGTTGTTCCCTTTGTCATCGGTATGTTACTTGCCCGAGATTCGATCGCCGGTATCTCAGTACCTAGTTCAATCTCGTTACCGGCAAGTATCTTTACTCATTCTGTAATGCAACATCCCGTAACTAACTCATTAGTCACATTGCTTGCAAGGCTTATAGTGATCTATGCCAACTCAACAAACACCATCGGAGACACCTGTATAGCATCTTTATAGTCAGCCAGTTACATTGTGACGTTTGATAGCACACTAAGTGTTCCTCCGGTATTCGGGAGTTGCATAATCTCATAGTCATAGGAACATGTATAAGTTATGGAGAAAGCAATAGCAGTAAACTAAACGATCATCATGCTAAGCTAACGGATGAGTCAAGTCAATCACAACATTCTCTAATGATGTGATCCCGTTCATCAAATGACAACTCTTTGTCCATGGTTAGGAAACTTAACCATCTTTGATCAACGAGCTAGTCAAGTAGAGGCATACTAGTGACACTCTGTTTGTCTATGTATTCACACATGTACTAAGTTTCCGGTTAATACAATTCTAGCATGAATAATAAACATTCATCATGATATAAGGAAATATAAATAATAACTTTATTATTGCCTCTAGGGCATATTTCCTTCTATAGGTGTGGAGTGGTAACAGTGTAGAAGGTTCATCCAATTTCTCTGTGTTTTTAAGTTATTTTTTGTTTGATTTTTTCTATTCTTTTCCTTTTACTATTTTTTTAAAATTTTATTTTTTAATTTAAAAACTTGAATTCTGTACATATTTGTTTACCATTCTTTAATTAATGAACATTTTTTAAAAGTCAAGATTGATTTTTCAATTTCATGAACAGTTTCCAAATTCATGATCATTTATTTTGAAATTCATGATATTTCTAAAATACTTGAACATTTTCAAAAAAAATGGTGAACATTAAAGACGAAAACGCCACAAATTTCTGGGATCATTAGTGCTATATTTTTTGCCCTGGATCATTATCGAAGAAAACACGGTATATTGTACCCTTTTACATATTTTGTGATTTTTTTCTGGGATCATTAGAGTTATATTTTTCTTCGGCCATGTGATGTTTACATTGTTTATTTTGGACTAGTGTGTCTATTTTTTCTACTCCCCGGCTAGCCCAACCTGTTTGGATCGGGAGTTTGAGTGGACATGTCGATACTTCTCCAATATCTATAATTTTTTATTGTTACATGCTATTATAGTATCAATCTTGTATGTTATATATGCAATTATATGCAATAGTATACCATTTTTGGGACTAACCTATTAACTGAGTGTCAAGTGCTGGTTGTTGTTTTTTGTCCGTTTTTTATTTTTCAGGAAATCAGTACCAAGCAAAGTCCAAATGCCACGAAACTTTTTAACCATTTTTTTGGACATAAGAGACCCTAGAAGCCTTGAAAGGAGGCCAAAAGGCACATGGATGTGCCCATGTGGCTTATGGGCCCCTCATTCGTATGTTTGACCTAATTTTGTCTTTATAAATTCTCTAAAATCAGGAAACTAACAGAGAGCTACCCAAAATATTTTTTTCGCTGCCGCAAGTCTCTGTTATTACGAGATCCCATCTGGAGGCATTTTCCGGTAGTCTGCCGGAGGGGGAATCGATCATGGAGGAACTCTACATCAATCTGCATGCTCTTCCGATGATGTATGAGTAGTTTACCACAGACCTATGGGTCCATAGCTAGTAGCTAGATGATTTCTTTTCTCTTTTTGATTCTCAATACAATGTTCTCCTCGATGTTCTTGGAGAACTATTCGATGTAATCTTTTTTTGCGGTGTGTTTGTTTGGATCTCATGAATTGTGGGTTTATGACTAGATTATCCATGAATATTATTTGAGTCTTCTCTGAACTCTTTTATGCATGATTGTTATAACTTTGTATTTATCTCCGATCTATCCATTTGGTTTGGCCAACTAGATTGATTTATCTTGCAATGGGACAGGTGCTTTGTGATGGGTTCATCTTGTGGTGCTCTATATCCGGGTTACAAAAAGGGACAAGACACCCATTTGTATTGTTGTCATTAATTAAGGATAAAATGGTGGGGTTTATTCATATTGATTAATTTTTTATTTTGTCTACATCATGTCATCTTGCTTAAGGCGTTACTCCATTCTTTATGAACTTAATACTTTAGAAGCATGCTGGATAGCGGTCGATGTGCCAGCAGGCAAAGTGGTGGCCAGCAATGCCAGTGCCGACGGGCGAGGTGGTGGTGGGCACCGGCGTGCTCTCGATCGAGAGCAGAGAGGGGTACGAGAGAGAAAGGAGAGAGATCGTGGTGGCGGTGTGTGTCAAGAGAATAAGGGAGAGAGAGAGAGAGTGGTGGGGGCGTGGGGTGCGTGGGCTTTGCGTTGTGGGGATGTCTAGAGCAGATCGTGCCATGTCATCGATCCATGTGATCAATCCGGGTGGTGTGTTTCATCTTTGCCATCTACAAAAAAAACACAGACGACAAAGATATACTTTGTCGTCTGTTATTTTTTTACATACGACAAAATGGTTTTGTCGTCTATAAAAATAATAATTAGACGGCAAAGTACGGTCACAAAAAGGTAAAAATAATTTGTGCGAATATTTCCTACATTCCTAATGTGAAGGTAAAAATGATTTTTCAGAATTTATAGGACTAAACTAGAGCACACTTGTAGTTCAAATTTGAATTACTTGATGTAAATCGTCAGAAATTTAATATATCAATGAAATATGTCAATATCACACTAAAATTCATGAAAAATTGGCCTTTGAAATCCCATGTGGTCTACTTTATGTGAAAATTGAAAGGGCACAATTTACAATATAATTTGTGGTACTTGCTTAAAAAAAGTCATCTTGGCCAGTAGAAAAATGGAAAATTAACTCTTTATTTGTGATATTGTCAGTTTATCATTTTTTCACAATAAATTGCACATAAAAGACCTTCATGCGAAAGGATTTTAATTTTTGAGCCTTTTTTATTTTCTATGATTTTTTCAAATTGTTGTCAAAATTGCATGAATGGCTAATCATATAAAATTGCACCCATTTTCTGATTTGTACACATATTCAAATGAAATTCATACAAATCATGATTAATTTCAAGTGTATGCAAAAGACTCAAAATATAATCCAGTTATAGCATACGAAATTCATACAAATAATAATTTATTCGAATAAACGACAAGTTCGGCGCGATCCTATCGCCAAATCCGAAACTAATCTTCTTCATCAAGCTGCGAGCGGCAATGCTGATCTCGAAGCTAAGGCCATCCTAGAAGGAACATCGCCCAATGATGTTTTTGTGTACCATCGGGTTGAGGCTGTCGAAGTGCTGGATCCGAGCAGTGCGGTCGTGGGCGAGGATGTGCGGCCATAATGGGTTGTTAGGCTCGAAGTCTGGATGCGCCCTCTCCTCTGGCGTCAGACCTGCCTAAAACCTGCGAACGGCGCGCACAAAGGCTATCGAGCCAACGGCGGGAACAGGCGCCACCAGACGACCCCCTGACTCACAATCCATCCCACCGGCAGACGTGTGTCCAGCGGTGCACGAATGTCGTAGCTGGCGAGAAGCTCGGCTTCACGGAGAGTAAAGTTATCCGGCCACACCATGGATGCGGAAAGGAAGGTGGGAGAGGAGGGTAGGGTTTGTGCTACAATGGCACTGGAGGTGGATAAGGTTGTAGAGGCGAGCGACGAAATGGGATAGGGGGATGCATATATGGCACGAGAAGGGTGGGTTGCGGCGTTAAGCTACCATTAATGGGCGCCGGCTGACACGACTCCCCATGTGTGAAAACACGCGCCGTCGCTTATGTGGAAACAATAGGCGACGCTAATTAAATTTTGCATACCGACGGGTCTTACGCGTGAGTCTCGGACTATGTAGGAATCAACCGGCGACGCGAAATCAATAACGCATGCGGCCAAATGGTGGGTCATACACCACGGTGTGCACAAAAGAGTCGGCAATGCGGATGCATGCGGCCTTAAAGATTGGTCTCACGCGTCAGTACCGGGCGAAGTGACGGTCAACGGCTTTAACCTGACGGCAAGGCACGGTTTAACCTTTTGTGAGGCGCAGACGAGCGGAGGAGAACAAAAGTGGGCAATGTTAGATGGGTGGGGCAAAACTCAACACAAAGAGGAGGAGGCATGAAAAAAATTCTATTATATTATATCCTCTTACCACAAACGGCGATAGGATGGAATCGGACAAAAACGGAAAAATACGACTTCCTTCGTTTTAAATTACTTATCGCAGTTATGCATGTATCTAGATGTATTTTAGTTCTAGATACATTCATTTTTGCGACAAGTAATTTGGAACGGAGGGAGTAGAACTGACGCGATGATCGGGCGGGTCATCCATCGTGTAGCACTCGAGCAGTTAAGAACAAACCGATTGATATATTTTTTGTAAGCTAGCTCCCGATCGATTGACGTATGTATAGGTCGAGGATTCAGCAGGCAGCTGCCCGGAATCCGAGTCTACCACCCCAAACGTCGTACAGCATCTCCAACGTTCTCATTTGGACATTGCCGAGGAACCCGACATAATCATCTGGCCCAGACTCGGCGAAGGCCAGACAACCATCCAACAGAAGCCCGTTGGGGACATCGAGGTCAACCGTGACACCGCCGGTGAAGGTGAGAGCGACCTTTGGCACGGTGACGTTGCTGTATCCGGTGAAGTTGTAGCATGTGTCGCCGTCGTCGCTCGGGATGAGCGGGTAAGCCGCCATGGCCCCCCGGAACGCGGACTGCAGTTTCGCGTAGGGCGTCGTTGGCAGATGTGAGATGATATTGCCGCAGTCCACGATCAGGCCCCCCTCGAACACCTTTCGTGGGATGCGGAGCTGCTTCCCGCCAACGCTGATGCCGGTGAGCTTCACCAGGTAGGAGGTGGCGTCATCCATGAAGTGGGTCATGGGCGTGAACGAGAAGCCCGAGGTGTTGCTGGGCGCGCCGAGGGCGAGGAACCCGGTGCCGCTGCTCACCGACGGGAGACAGTGGGAGAAAGAGCCGCCGTAGAGCGCGGAGGTCTGAACCGGGAGCGACTCGGGCGCGCGGCCAAGCCCGAGCAGGCCGTCGAACTTGTCGTTGGGGCCACCCTGCTTGTACCCGCAGCCGAAATGGAAGTCCTTGATGATGACGCCGGGCGCCAACGTGAGCGCCTCGTTGCTGTACACGCCGCTGGTCTTTGACCCTCCTCCGTACTCGACTCGATACCCGCACTGGGACTGGGTGCCATTGCCGTTCATGCTGCAGCCATTGTTCAAGTGGTGATCGGACTGGAGGATCTTGCAGACGTCAGAGCCGCAGGGAATGGGAGCATAGGTGGAGGACTTGCGCGGGTCGAACAAGGGATCCTTCTGAAGGTAGCAGTCGCTGGAGTTGCATGGCGCGCACTGCACCCACGACAAGTCGCTGCCGGTGTCCAGGAGGAGGACCTGCTCCACGGCCGGCGTGCCCAGACCCAACGTCACCACGTACTCCTGCGAGTCCACGAAGGTGCCCAGATGCGCCGGGATGCTTACCTCGCCCTCCTCCTGGTCCTGCATCTGCATGGTGCTCATGACGTAGTCTGCGCGGACGCGGCTTCTGCGAAGCGCCTCGACGAAAGATGATGGCTTGTCGGTGGACGGCGACTTGGCGCAGGGTCCGTGCCTGTGCACCAGCGGCACAGCGGCGCCGTTTGGCCGCGGCGCCACTGAAACATATATCCGAGCGTCATACATGCAGATCGATTAACGTCGAAAATTATGCCACGCTCAATTCATGCACGTACGTACCTGTGGATCTGGAGGTGGAGCAAACATCTTGTGTCTGAAATGACCTGGTTGACACCACAACGAAGCTTTGCTTACCGTTGCCTACAGCAGAAATGGTGGAAAGGTAGCTGCCAAATACGACCAGGAGGATGCACAAGAACAAGGGAGAAGCCATTGGAAGTTACAGCAGTATACACCAGGGCTTTTTACCTAGTCTAGGACGCCCTGATTTATACACCAACCACACGTTCAGGAATCTATGTGGGACTGACTGAACAATCACGAAAAATGAGAATGGGAAGATTATACCAAGGATGAGGTGGAGCCGTCGATGTGTTTACACTTGTCTTGGCAGTAAGTAGATAAAACAAAGATACTAGTAACTTTTTCTCCTCGAGTTAACTCGCCCTCCTTTGTCATGTACGTTCAGTGCCCACTTCCTACCTTGTAACTAGAGTGCAATTTACTCTTGGAGTCCAACTCAAACAACCAACTTCTAACCACTTAGGTTAAACTTTCGACTTTTTTAACGCCCCTTATTTTGGACCTTATATGCTTGTTAGCTAAACACGACAAAACAGGGAATCTAAGGCCATGTTTGGTTCATAAGTCCTAGGATTTTTATAGTCCCAACTTATAAGTCTCTAGTTCCTAAAAAGTTCCTACCTGTTTGGTTTCTGAGACTTAACATGGACTAAAAGACCACATTACAACTATAAATCCCTATAAGTCCTTTCTTGAGAGTCTTATTTCATAAGTCCTAAATGTCCACTTTAAGTTTCTATAAGTCCCTCCTGTTTGGTTTAAATGAGACTTATAGAAACTTTTTTAAGTCCCTAAGCCAACAAACACCCTCTAACACTCGTAATGATAAAGCCGAAGTAAGCCTCCAGCAACATGCATGTAGGAAATGGATTACCGTCTTCACATGAATTTGATGTTTAAAATTAGGGAGCGACTGCGTGTAAGTCGCCTGATTCTTTCTTATTTTTGGGTCAGTCGACACACAACGTGTGTGTTGGCTAGCCGGGCAATTCCAGCCTGATTCGCTATGCATGCACACGTTTCGGACCCATGCATAATATGCATTCATGATCCTCTCCTCCAATCGAAACTTTTTTTAGTACCCATGCGTGTATCTACGCATGCATGCATGTACGCATGATGCTTCTGCATGCATATGCATGGACGCATGATACATACGTACTTTCCTCCAATCGTTCTCCTTTTTCATCTAAACTATTTTTTGGTACGTGGTAATTGCATGCTTGGATGCTGCTTTGTGTTACCCACAAAAAAAAAGGATGCTGCTTTGTGTTACCCACAAAAAAAAAGGATGCTGCTTTGTGTGCCTGTTTTTGTCGTTAAGCCAAGGAGTACTATGATTGATGGATTAGCCTTGCCTAACCTCAAGCAAGTTGCACTCCTACACCATCAACCGTACACCCCACCACCACCATCCCCTCGGAAACAAAATAAAAAATTGTTGGAGATATGCCCTAAAGACAATCATGTATGATACTATTTCCTATGTGTTTATGAATAAAGATAGTCCTTGGACATTATCAATGATGTGTATCAGTAAGTACGTGACTTGTTTGTGGGACTATGCATTATATGATGACTGTCCTAAAAGGTCCCTAGTCGAAAGGGCTGTATGGACGCGCAGCCAACTAGATTAGCATATGACACGGTCGATGGCTTGGTCTCACTAGCCATGGAGCATTATATGCTAACCGGATAATATGGACTTGCAAGGATCTAGTCGGATTCGACATAGTCGGATCCGAGTCGAGATAAGGTACGAGTCGGACAGACCCAACTATGAGACGCAGCGATATGTCATCTGTGAGTCTCTAGTACAACATATGTTCTATGTCCTAAGATCTGAGCTGACGCATGTACTCGGGATGGTGACAGACTTGCTTTGGGCCGACCAAACGCTACTCTGTAACTGGGTAGTTATAAAGGTAGGTTTCGGATTTGTCCAGAACCATGCTGCGAGACGTGGTCGAGCAAGATGTGATTTGCCCCTCTAATCAGGAGAGATATACTCTGGGCCCCTCTTGTGATCCGACCAGGATAAGCATGGCCATGCGACAAGGATTATGAGATAATCCGTTTTGTGGTCGGCATCACTGGAATGAGAAAGAGGTCGGGATAGCACAAGGATGACAGACTCGCCTTGAGCCGACAACATATATCGTGTGGCAAAAGGAATGGAAGTATGATGTACAGGTTCGCCTAACCAGCTTCATATTCTGTTTGGTATTCGGCATGCCTTGCTAGAGGCCGCTACCAACTGTGCAGTTCGGAGGTGATCCGAACTGCGACCAAACCGGCTTGAACCTAAGGGGTCGCGCGCTTAAGGAAAGGAACCTACGAGGTCGAATCCGGGGACACTGGCCGGATGTGATCCGAACTATATTCAGATTGTGGCCGAGTAGACTTATGGGCTTTAGGGTCCGTGCGAGGCCCAAGTGTTGAGCCCGCGACGGGCGCCTATATAAAGTGGAGGTGCCGCACACTCACGCGGTTGATCGCTTCGGCACTGTCACTAGGGTTTGCATGTGTTGCGAATAGACACCTCCACTCGCCGCCGGTTGTGTGATCGGACCTAGCAGTCTACCGCACGACGTTCCTCCTGCACGCGCGGATACCGTTAGAGGCGGTGTACTTGCGCCGCTCCGGCGAACCTGTACGTGGGAACCGACTACCGGCTGTACGACGAAGATCGGACGAGGAGGAGACGATCCACGCGGACGCGCTGCCCCAACTCTTCTTCCGCTGCACGGTACTGCGCGTCTAGTGGTAACGAACTGTGATCCATCTCCCGTAGCATGTTCTTGGTTGTTCTGCGCGTAGGAAAATTTTAATTTGCAGTCGATGCACCCTACCGTAGAACCCAACAAAATAAAAAATAATAAAACTTGCACATAATATATATAGAAATTATATTTATTTACAATATGCAAGAATAAACATATGATAGTGGAACTTTTGCAAACAAGAAGTTTTCTCAAAAGAAATGAATTAGTGGACTTGACGATGCCCTTAAACAAGAAAGAAAAAAATAAAATGTAAAACAATCATAATAATGAAATCTTCTAAGCTACAATGAATTATTGGCATTAATATTACCCTTGAAGAAGAAAGAACATAAAAATATAAACAAACAATGAAAAAATTTGCAAAAAAATTACACCGAATTTTGGTCAACTCACTTTGTTTAGCAACCGACTAATTGAGTACTAGTAGTGAATTGAATAATTAATTGTGATAGAGACGAGACATCACCACACCGGTTGGCCTGGACCAGTACCAGGCCATGCATGCATGGATGCACGTGTAACCCATGCGTGTAGGAAAACAGAAAAAAAAACAAGTAAAATCAAAAACATAATCAAACACTCGAGTTTTCTATCAATTAATGGAGTAGTGACATTGATATTATCCTTTAAGTAGAAATAAAATGGAAAAAACTCTTAAAATAATGACACAAGGAAAGCACAATTTACACAGAAGTCACACCTTTTTATAATACACAAGATAAGCTTATAATAGTAAAATTTATGGAATTGCGCTTTGTTATAATATGAAAAATTTGCACGCAATTTACATAGAAATTGCGCTTTGTTATAATATGTAAGAATAAATGTATAATAGTGCAATTAGTGCCATTGCTATTACCATTAAATAAGAAAGAAAATGAAATAAAAACTAGAATAAAATCAAAATGACAAAGTTTTCTAAGGAAGAATTAATTAATGGCGTTAGTATTACCCTTTAAGAAAAAGGACAAAAATTGCTCACAGTTTACAGAGAAATTATGTTCTTTATAATAGGCAAAATAAGCATATAATAGTGGGATTTAAAAAAATACTAATAAAAATTGTATTAGTGGCATTGGTATTACCTTTAAAAAGGAAAGAAAATAACATAAAAACTAAAAAGGAATCAAAGTATTGAAGTTTTCTAAGAAATGAATTGGTGGCATTGGTATTACCCTTTCAGAAAAAATTAATGAAAAATAATAAAACAATACTGACAAAATTTGCACATAATTTACACAAACTTTGTGTCTTTTTTCAATATGCAACTAATGGTATTTTCACAAAAATGAAAGTTTCTACGGAGGAATAAATCAGTGGCATTGGTATTATCATAAACAAAGAAATAAAATGAAGTAATAACTAAAAAAACCAAAACGATGAAGTTTTCTAAAAAGAATGAATTCGTGACTTTAGTATTACCTTTAAAAAAGAAAAAGAAATAAAAACCAAACCAAAACAAACAAAATCAAAATAACAATGCTTTCTAAGAATGAATGAACTAGTGGCATAGGTGTTACCCTTTAAGAAGAAAGAAAATGAAATAAAAGACAATGATAAAACTTACACAATTTACACAAAAATTGTGCTTTTTAAAAATATGCAATAATGAGCATAATATAGTGGTATTCTCGCAAACAAGGAATAAAAGTTTCCTAGGATGGAATGAACTAGTCACATCAGTATTGCCAATAAATAAGAAAGAAAATAAAGTAAAAAACACATTCAAATTAATGAAGTTTCTTCTAAGAAAGAATGAATTAGTGGCTTGGTATTACCCTTTAAGAAGAAATGCAATGAAACAACGCTGAAGAAAAATTAAAATAATGAAGGCTTTTTGAGGAGGAATAAATTAGTGGCATTGGCATTACGATTTATGAAGAAAGAAAATAAAAAATAGAAACAAGCAAAGATAAAATTTGGCACACAGTTTACATAGAAATTGCACTTTTTATAATTTTAAAAAACATCGCGAGGTTTTATTCCATTTGGACTCTGTTTAGTATTTCTTTTTCGCGAAGCTAAAAAACAAGAAAAAAAATAAAAACTAGCACTGGGCTTCAGGTTAATAGGTTAGTCCCAAAAATAGTATAAAATAGCATGTAAATGCATATAAAACATCCAAAACAGATAATATAATAGCATGAAACAATTAAAAATTATAGATACATTGGAGACGTATTAGTCAGCCCGGCGAGCGAGAGGTATGGAAGAAAAGTAGGGAGCTCCTATTCAGCGTTGTAGGCACCGATTTGCGCTGCTGGCGATCGCGCGTGACGCACAGCGAGCAGGTGCACTACTAGGAAAAGGCCTGTTAGTGGCGCACCTGTTTTGGCCATTAATG